CGTCTTTCGGCTGAGATGATGAGAGGGAAATCCATTTTATTATGAGACACGAGAATTATCTTCAGTCCTTAATAAAACGTGGAAGAAAATTGAAAGATGAAACTTTTGTATTTACTTACCATGTAATGATTTTCGATCCCATTCATTGATGCTCATTAGAAATAAACTTTGTCGTTTCTGCGTATGTGTTTATTGTTGGTTCTGTAGTGAAGGGAAACTCGCTACTAATATTTAGGTACGTCAACCCATCAGTTAAATGCGTCTATATTAACCACAAACTATAAGAAGTTAAAGAAAAAATTAACTGGTTAAATAACACAGGCCAACAAAATTTGATAGTTTCTTTTCCAAAAACCAAAGTATACTGTCCCGAAGGATTTTATAAAAAGGTGCAAAAAACGCCATTATTGCCATTTTTTTAAATTTCATTATGATTAAAAAAATACACAGCAGGCTTGATCATGTTACAAAGGGTTATAAACTTTTTGCATTTATATTTAAAATTAGACCCACAAAGCGGTTTCTAGTATATAAATATAATTGAAAATACGTAACTTTAATATTATAAAAAAATATATATAATTATGCAGTGTTTACTGTTTTACATCCTAAAGCATTTTAAGCGCCCCGGTAAAAGAAATAAATTGAAAAAATCATTGAAGCACACAAGTCGCGGAACCCAGTCTCACACTCTGGCCTTTTTATTACACACTTTTTTTTACTTAGTCGGCGGTCGATTTGCATAAAGTCGCAAGTAGCCATACAGACGGTGGTTCGAGATCGTAAAACGGACGACCATAAAAGAAACACCTTTTTGCTTATAAGGGAAGTTGTTGTTTTGCACTGAATTAATATATGTGATTGTATTATCTGAACAACAGCCCTGCAGCGTTTTTTTCCTTGTTACTGAAATTTGTAATATTTTTTACGAACAGTAAAAATTTTTTAGCAATGAATTTGGTGTGAAATATTTCCTTTTATAAACTACTGTCTTTAAAGGAATAATAGTAAAAAGATATAAACTGTTAAGAATTTCGAAACACTAACACACAACAACAACAGAAAAAAAGTACAAATCCAAAAATTAAAATTAAAATGTAAATGTAAAAAACATTAAAATGTAAATATTAAAGCGGTTACGCTATCCTATAAAAAACAATGTAGGCATATGTTATAGAAGACACAGATAACGAGATGTGCCGGATCTGGTGAAGGAGCAATTATCAGTATTAATCAAAATACTATTTTAATTTAACACTCAAACTTATATAATATTTGATTATTAGTATTATTTTATGATTATAAAAGTTATTATTATTAACATGTCTTCTTTACAATCCAATAAAAATATCACAACTCTTTCATAAAATACGTGTTTTTATTTTAAACTGAAAAAGTGCAATCTTACTGAGACACCTTTACTTACTAAGTATATCTATTCTTAAAACTTAGCATCCTTACGCTCCGAATCATAACACTATACGATTAAACATAACTAACCAAACTAAACACTTTAGTAGACTATACCCACATCCAAGATATTCCATAGACAATGTTCAGACAAATATCCGAGTATCCGGCTATCTCATTCAAGTGTTATCGCCACGTTTTTTTTGTTAAACTAATTTATCCCAGTAAGGTCATTTATACCTCCTCTAAAGCAATGTAACGAAACGCCTATACTCGTAAGGTCAACTATTTTCAATGTCGTCACATAAAGTGATGACGTCATGCGATAGTAGCTGGTTAACACAACGTATTAAAACCCAAACAAACAAACGTCTATCTTCAAGGTTAGCACAAGGATCATGTTCTTATAGTGAATCATTTTTGTAAAAAATAATTGTAAAATTTAGATTAAGAATTTCGATTAGGACAAATTATCTTATTTTTTGTGCGTAGGATGGATTAATATTTATTTCAGTTGAATACTAAATGTTCAATGACAATAAAATGAAGCTTGTTGATAGTCGTATTGACAATCAGAAAAAATTGTTGTTGATAATTGATACTTTTTGTATCAAATAAAACTATGATTGACTCTGTATCATTTAGAAATATCTTTAATAAATCATTGACAGCACTTTGTCATAGTACAAGTAACTGATTTTTGTATGTAGAATTATAAACTATTACTTTATTCTTCTGGTGAATGAAAGGCTTTGAATCAATATCCCTGAAGTTAAATAACCCTAACTGATTCCTTCCTTCACCTTCAAGCAAACTTCTAAACTTTCGCTCTGCATGGTACATAAATATTTATATGTTATCTGCAAATTACCGGGTATGACCCGTTAAAGCGTAAAATTCTACCTTAAATAGCAGATATTTATACTTTACCTAGTTAATGTGCATATTAACTGATGCTACACCGTTAAATCGCGGAAGATAGTGAACGAAACACTTTTGTCTCGTATTCTCGGTCACCCCAGACGCTTGTATCCACGACAATCGCGGGGCCGGCCTGTCAAAAATACTTTTGACCATAATATTGTACTGTTATAACCTCATCTAACTCAAATAATTTACCAACAATCTGGCGTTCTGACCTAACCTAACACAAACTTAACTTTACCGTGTGCTAGTTCGTTAGTCTACAGATTACCTTAGCAGTTATATTATCTAGTTAGTAGATAGTAGTAGAAGAGTTATCCATTTAATGTAAGAACTGAAACAATTATTTCCACTTTAACGTACTCAACCAGATAATCTGCAGATTAATAGGTCTGCGCTTCAACTGATTTATGCACATCAGCGATAACGTTTTTATTAATTTACACTAGCAGTAGGTCTTATATACTTTTGAGTTATCTGAAGTTTCGAGTAAGTTGCACCGACTAACTGACGCAGTGTTACACGCCCTCGGTCAATGAGGCCGTGAAGTAGAAAACTTTTTATCCATCCGCACATTGTTTTGGGTTCTTTTTTCATATTTCCTTTTAACGTCACTATGTTTCTTTTCTGTTTGCTTTCATTTAATTATTTTTTTAATTTCAAGTTGTGATTCTGATGATTCTGCTTTGTACTGAACGCACTTTATTGCACTTTGTGGCACAGCACCAACAAAGATTTTGAGCTCCTAATTTTAAGACACATATCAAAATTAGCTGACTTACAAACACTGTATGTCTTTTTTTGATTGTATGCATTATGTACGAAAATAGGCAAACCTGTTTGTAATTAGATTCCTGCTGTTTTTGTAATGACCTGGTAACCTGTAACCTTCAGAAGTGTTATCTTTAAATGAGACCAACCATTAATAAAATCAATACCTAAAAACTTTCAGAAGTTTTGTGAAGATTCCGTGATTCACATACTTAATTCATTATCATAACTTGTCATTGTATGATTAAAAAAGATTTGGAAATTAACCCTCTCACCTTTCGGAGAGTTATATGAAATTATTTTGTCCTCAGAAAAAGGAATTTATTCTTGGTTCTGTGTTTTGTCTCTTAAATTCACTCTCCACATATACATATTTATGTAGGTAATTCAGTTGTATGCTTTATCTTGTTAGATGAAACTTATTTTCTTTTATTTATTTGTTAATTATATACATACATATGTCCCTTGTATCTGGGTATGTACAATGGCTATTTACATATTATTTCAAGAAGTTCTACGTCTTTAGGGGCTACTAATAGACATTGTTGGTTTACTAGAACTGGAATGTGAATACTGATTAAATAGTATGTTTCCCTCATAGCATTAATGTAGTCCGTGTCCGTGTGGTGACGGATTAAGAATACAGAGTGTCACCACCCCTATTCATCCCGTGGGTGTCGTAAGAGGCGACTAAGGGAGAAAACTACGCAGGACAACAACACTGCAGAGAGAAGGAAAACTTGAAACAAACCCTATACCAACCCGTCTGGCAAGCGTGGTATAGTAGGCCAAAACCTCCTTTCTAAGGGGAGGCCTATGTCCAGCAGTGGACTATTAAAGGCTGTTGATGATGATGATGATTAATGTAGTATTGTATGTGTCTGTCGCTAAGAATAGTAACCAGCATTTCGATTGAATGAAGTAAAATAAAATAAATCACAAATATTATCTGTCATCATAATTTAATAATATAAAAATACCAATGTACATACATAATTATTAGGTAATCCACTAAATTACACCTGAGCAAAGTTATATAAACTGATCGCCGATTACTAAAATTTTAGATATTTCTTCTTTAAATCTACTTAAAATAATAATTATTATAATTGAATTTGTTTGCTGTGTTTATTTAATTACTTTTAACAATTGCCATTCATTAATAATTAAAATTAACAAAAAATAACTGTAAAAAATGAATTTAACTAATTATTCTTAATATATTATTTACAATTTAAAATAATAACTTAAATTAAATCACGATTACTTTTAAAACTGCTTATTGCTTGAAGAACTAACGTATTCAATAATCATACTATGAATTGACTAAATAATAAATAACAGCTGTAATAAGAACCAGTCATTTCTTAATATTTTAAGTTTATAACCTATTATTAAGTTATAATGAATATGAATAATTCCAATATCATCACCAATTAATTGAAAAAAAAAAACACCAAAACAACTGTTTCATTCGTCGCTATCCAACAACAAAACGACAAATAATATATACTCGTATATTGCCTAATTTTCGTTAAACTAATTCCTTTTTTTTTCTTAAAATTTTGAGGTAAACAAAACACTACACAAACAAACCTTATGAGATCTTTACGAAAACCAAATCCACATTGCAAATACGTACAAACATACCCCTAGCAGTTTTACACTGCGTATTTATAATCGAAACTTGGACTAATAATACTTTTCATTATAATTAAACTAAAGTTAGGTACAATTTTTTTATCTATAAATGCATCTATACAATCACTTAAATCTATTATAAAATATAATACACACAAATGTGTTGAGAATATTTTTTGTACGTTGTGTATAAACGTTTACACTTAAATATACCACTCAATACTATTTAACATACTAAGTTTTCTTAGACATCATCAACGTCTCATAATGTCTTCTATACTAAAGCCTTTCTTCGGTCCAGTGGAAGGACGTGTACCGGGCTTCGGATTAGCTGGCGGTTGTATACCTACTATATTCTTTATTCCACTTGTTATAAAGCTTGAACTAGCTTCTTCAAGATCTTTCTGGCCATCGTTGCATTTAGTAACAGTTGTTGAAGTACTCGGCGTAGAATCTTTCGGCGGTGCGTGTTTCACTATTAAATCTTGGGCCACGGTTTGCTGTGGACCCAGAATCGTATGAGATACTGGACCGAATGCCATTTGAGGATGAGGTGGTGGCATAGGAAGTCCAAACTTATGGTACGACGGCATACCCATGATAGATGGTGGAATTCCTACTACAACATCTGTATTCGCTATAGGTTGTCGTGGCATGGTCAAGTTTGTTGGTTCAGGAGACCGACCCCTGTAAATTGCTGCGCAGGTTCTTACGTTTTCTCCAATATCTGGCTGGTGACTTCTCTTTCGAAATGGACTCAGATACATACTGGATGGACCTGGATCAACAGGTGGGCTAACTATTTGATTAATTTTTGTGGGATCCGGTGGTATCACTTGGTGTAAATCTCGTCTTATTTGCAACTGAGGGTGTCTCATTGGTGGTTCTGGAATATCTGAGTAGCGCATTTCTTTCTCAATTATTTCTTCCGAAGTGAAGCGCCGTTTTTCGTATGGGTCTGAGGATGGCATTCGATGTTTGTCCTGATGTTGTGGACGCATTGTGTACGGGCTAGCTCTGTCTCTCTGATCATTATGATGGCAATGAGTACGTTCTACTGGAGACGGTGAGGCCCGTCGTGGTCTCTCTTCGCTTTGTTCTCGTCCGATACTCTCAATAGAAGATGAACGTGCCCGCCTAACAGGTGAATGTTCGGGAGAAGATAGTTCAGGATCTTCGTCGTCGAACCCTGGTTCAACTGGCGAACCGGGTCTACCAATATCTTCCTCACCCACATCTAAAACATCGCCAGGTGGAACATCTCCTACAGCATGTGTTAATGCGTGTCTCCGTAAATCGCAGTTTCTTCTGAATACTTTCCCACAAGAGTTGCATTCGTAAGGTTTGTGGTCTGTGTGAGTTAGTAGATGTGTCTTAAGGTTAGACCGTTGATTAAAACTTCGACTGCAAACTGGACACTTGTGTGGAGACTCTTCCATATGAAGGATCTTATGCACTGCTAAAGTCCTCGATTGACAGAACCCCTTTCCACATTCTGTGCATTTGAACGGCTTCTCCTTTGAATGAATGTACCTGTAAAAAAGAGAGTTCAGTTAAATTTCTGTGCTGTTTTCACTTAACGGTAGATGACAAGGGCGATTGTTGAGAACAATTAAACGATTTGCGCCATAAGCATCAAAGTTTAATTAAAGATCTGTGTATGGGCGTATTGAATGCGAATACAAGTTTTACTAATAATATGATACGAAACACATTTTATTTTTTGATACACAATAATATGAAGATATTCGAAACAGGTTTTGATTGGAATTGGAGGCGTTCATTCATTAAAAGAGGAACGACCTTTAGTCATCTTAAGCCATTCATTGTTTGGTATTAACTCAAGTGAGCAGATGTCAACTTAGTACAATAACTGTACGAGATTCTATACAATGTGATAGTATTTTTTTGTTCTGTCGTCCACTATACTGAGTATATTGGTCCGCTTAGGCATGCCTTGAACGTGATCCGTGTAACATGAGCCTTAAGTTTCAGGTCAAAACCGACAACGGCGTATACGCACGGTGTGTTTAACGACACCATTTCTTGAAGACCTCGGCTTACTAATTTTATTGCCGCTTTTTGTTTTTGAATAACAAAAATGCTAAGAAGCAGGAAGGTCAAGTTTATTGGTTTGGTTTTATAAAAGTTCCAGTGTAACTAAGGCGAATTACCTATGTGAGAAACACTTTTTGATTACTCGCCACAATTACCAAATATTATTTTAACAAATGTCTATTGGACGAAAATGTTTCTGAAAGTTGCTAAGATTTCGTAAAATGATATAATTATTTCTATGATGCGAAGTAGTAGTATTTGAAATGTTGCTCACACATAAGTAGAGTTTTATTTTTATGATTTTATGTGAGGAAAGGATGAGATGCCAGGTCAGCTTACGATTATAAAGGAAGTAGGTACAATTTGCAAATTGCATGCAAACATAACAATAGCGCTATGTTGTTTAAACCACTTGTTTGGAACAAAATGGAATTTCAAAAGTATAGGTTGGTCTGATGGAGTCTATAATTGTAGTTGATAATAATGGACCTAAAACATGCTTAGAATCTTTAACTATTTTGTGCTTAAAACTTTAAGAATGCATTTAACTTAATATAAATATCTAGTCTCGCGGTTTATACCTAAATTGTTGAGCGGTCCCGTAAGTCATACGAAACTCACTAAAAAAATAATAACAATAAGATGAAAACTCACAAATGAGTCACATTAATGATGATGACTTCAAAAATCTTAATGTAATTTAGTCACGCTATGCCGTACAAGGTAAATACATAATACCAACATGATTTTTGTGTCCTACATGTTTCAAAGTAGAAAGGTCAAATAAGGTTAAATTAGTTAGGAAAGTCAAATCCATACCTACCTAAAAAAAGGTTGAATTATTAGTTTTTATATCTATAAATTCCTTTTATACCCATACTTATAGGTATATCATGTGTAGTATAGGAGCTTTATTATAAACTAAAAGTTTTAATATAGCAATGAGTATGTTACACCAGTTTTCTCATTCGATTAGAAACTACTTCCATAATTTTCAATACTAAAATTGTCTTCACTTCATATTTCTAACTCAATACAGATTATTACGAATACAAATGTATAACATTGATACACTTTCGCACCATAACTACTAACTGTTTAACCGCCTAGTACAGAGAAAGACACACACTTACACACTGTCATTGTTCTTAAAAGTGGAAAGGTAAAAACCTAATGTTATATAAAACTAAAAACTACTTACACACGCTCGGTTAGTAAGTAATCTTAAAGTTTCTAAGAAGTCTCACACTTTAAGAGTAATATAAACAGTTTTGTAGACTATAGTAACATAGATCATTATTATCGATAAATATCTAAACATATCGATATACCTAAATTTGTGCAAGTAAGCATTATGTGAACTGCATAATATATGTTCTTCATTATCTTTATGCACCGAAAAGCATTTGTCCTTTACAAATGCTTTTTGGTGCACTTATTCACTTTCAACCAAATAAGTAAGTATAAAAATTATAATATTCAAAAGTTCATTCCTTGCTTATGATTGAAATCGATTCCATCGAATCAATTCTAGCAGTAATAATTGAATATTATCATAATAAAACGAACGCTTACGGCTGGAGGTACATAATACTAGTTCAAGCCAGTGTTATTTAAATTGAAGAAAATCGTGCAATAGCTTTCATAGGATATTCATACAATATAGAAAGAACTTGAATAATTAAAAACCACTCATGAAATGAAGATAATTTTGTTTTTATTAAATCATAAAAAAAGTAATCAGAGTATTGATTTTTTATTACCTACAGCAGCAAGTAAAGCGGCATCATGAGGCGGATATTTATATTTAATTATTTCTAATACTTTGATTTATATCCTTAGTCATATATCGTTTTTCAATAATTAAAATATAGACAAATAATTTAGATCCATCCATCCATACGGAGCCCTTTTTTTTTTTTTTTTTTTTCCGTGCGGAAATCCCCTCGGATACCACCTGTCGGTGGCATGTCGGACTCGAACCGACTAAAACCGCACGCCGTCGCCGGGTACTAATAGCCGGGGAACCAGGTATACCCTAGAAAGGAAGGCCCTGGTGCCCCGACATACCTCGGGTCATCTACAGACGAGTAGACGACCCCCGCCCCGTGTGGGAACCCCATGTTCCCTGTGCTCCCTGGAAGCGAGCGCGCTTCGCAACGCGCTCGCCGCCACCCCGGCCTGCTTCTGCTAGGGTGACAGATGGCCTCACCTGTCACCCCCAGGCCTGCGCTTATGGAGGACGGAGGTCGTTCTGCACCTCCGGCGCCTGATTCGCCTGCGCTGCCTGGCCCGTGCCCGGGCCTGGCGGCCGGGAGAGTTCTAAACCTCTCCCGGTCCCGCTCCGCCGTCTCCTTCGCGAGCATAACTTGCTCGCAGAAGGAGACGGCAGAGTTCCACGCACTCTCGCTCCGCACGATAGCCGCAATCAGGCTATCGAGCGAGAGAACTCCCACTCCGATGGCCGCCACGAGGTCTCGCCTCTGCTCAAACACCCACGCCGGGCACTCTGCCAGCGTGTGAGAGCCGTGTCCACGGTCTGGCCATCGCAGTGGTGGCCACTCAGGCGTTGGCTCCTTGCGGATCAGACACAGGTGATCTCCGAAAACATCCCTTCCCAGTGATCACCTGCGTCAATCGGTATGAGAGGGTCCCGTGACGCCTCTCGAGCCAATCCTCCATAACGTGGTCTTACCGCCGCAATGACGGCGTGCCCGGCGCTCGGTTGCCCGAGTCGTTCCCTCCACTCCCCTATGATGACCTGGCGGAGTTGGGATTTCCGGTCATCGATTTCTCGAATCTCGGGGTATCGACCCAACTCCTGCGCCTCCTTGCGCCACTGATACAGTGCTGCAAGGGCTCTCGCCTCCAGGTCCCACGGTGGAGTTCCGGCCAGGAGACTCGCCGCCTCGAAGGAGATCGTGCGGTACCCCCTTATGATCCTGATGGCCAGCATTCGCTGCTTGTCGCCGCAGTATCGCGACGTTGCTGGCCTTCAGGGCCCCCGCCCATACTGGGCACCCCGTAAAGGGCCATGGACCGGGCACAACCCCCGAGTAGAGTCTCCGGCAGGAGTCATCGGGTCCCTTCATGTTGGGCAGCAGCCGCGCCAACAGCACGCGCTGCCCCAACCAACTTGGGGACCAGACCTCGGAAATGATATCCGAAGTCCCATCGGCCATCGAGTACGAGCCCCAGATACCTGATCGAGGGCTCGATGCCGATGCGAGTGCCTCCTACCGTGAGGCTAGATCCCTCAGGCGGCTTCCTCCGAAGCCCGTGAAAGAACAGGGCCTCGGGACTTGTGCAGAGCCACCTCGAGACCCAGCCGCCGGATACGCTCAACGACTTGGGCAACCCCGGCCGTGGCCCTCAGGGTTGCCTCGTGGTGCGTCTTGCCGCGCGCCGTCACGAGTGTGTCGTCCGCGTAGCACACGACGGCGACACCATCCAAGAAGGTACCACGAAGCACCCAGTCGTAGCCGATGTTCACAAGAGTGGCCCTAACACCGACCCTGCGGAACACCGCACGACATTTCACGCCTACCGAGACCGGTCCTACTGGGGTAGACGACGGCTCTCTCCGACAAATATGCCCCGACTATGCGGCGGAGGTAGAGAGGCACTTCGTGATACACGAGCGCCTCCCTGATGCAGCTCCAGGGCATAGTGTTGAACGCGTTGGCGATGTCCAAGGACACCGCCAACACCACTTCGCCCCGGGAGACTGCTTCCTCCGCCAGAGCCTTCACGCGCATGATCGCATCCACGGTGGAGCGCCCCTGACGGAAACCCGTACTGGTTGTCCGCCAGATCCGGCCCAACCGTCACGAGATGCTTGACGAGGCGCCTTGCAATCACTCTTTCAAAGAGCTTGCACACCTCGTCAAGCAACACTATGGGCCGGTAGGCGGACCATACGGAGCCCTAAAAAAGAATAACGACCCTTGGCAATTACACGGATTGTGCATGTATTTTAGTTTGATCTTGAGTCCGCAATTTCGAACATACATTTCTTGGAAACGTTAAAAGTTAAATTCGTTATATGAAAAAAAATATTTTGTTATGGTGTGAGTGTACATCCTTGAATAGGACAGATTATAATAGTGCTGATTATACGAGTAATATTAATGCCAAATGTAATTATCTCAGCAGTAGAATGAAGTCATGTAGTACAGACTTGGCGAGAGGTAAACCAAACACATCATGGATATATAGTTTCGGGTATTACCTAGTAAACATATATAAAACTATTTCCGGTTTTTAGATGGTTTCGGTTCTATAGAACCAGTTACCGATATTAGGTTATTTAGGAATAGTAACAGAAATACACATATGTAGATTTAAACATGTAGGTAATGATTTGAAATTTAAAAGTTATCTCTGTTTCTAAGTTATCGTGTGCACTACACTAATAAATTTGAATTGAATTAAAAATGAAATGTAAATAATAGGAGTTAAAGTATGAAATTGCC